ACGGAGACATAAACAGATCGGCATGGTCTGAAGAAAATGGTATAACGAGGAGTGGGCCAGTGGATGTAGCTGATACGCAACACTAGGGAGAAAGACCAGACGAACATGCGGTCACAGTGCTATTAGTGACATCAAAATGGAAAATGGAGATCGGGACAGAGCGCTTATAGGAAAATCCCGAGTGCTATGATGTAGGGTTTAAACTTTATTTCACAACTCAATGGTTGTTTATGACTTTTTTGGACTTGGCAACCGAAAATGCTGAGCATGTGCCTCAACACTGTCAACTGTATGCTGACAACAGAGACGCAATCTGGCCTGTTCCAACCGCAAGGAAGACAAAACTGTATGGTACATGAGAAAATATGGACTGCATGATAGCCTTTATAAAGACTACTGGCCTCCTGATATACGTTTTCTGACAGAAGGGTCGAGGAAGAAGAAGAAGAAGAAGAAGAAGAAGAAGAAGAAGAAGAAGAAGAAGAAGAAGAAGAAGAAGAAGAAGAAGAAGAAGAAGAAGAAGAAGAAGAAGAAGAAGAAGAAGAAGAAGAAGAAGAAGAAGAAGAAGAAGAAGAAGAAGAAGAAGAAGAAGAAGAAGAAGAAGAAGAAGAAGAAAAAGAAGAAGAAGAAGAAAAAGAAGAAGAAGAAGAAGAAGAAGAAGATGAAGAAGAAGAAGAAGAAGATGAAGAAGAAGAAGAAGAAGAAGAAGACTTTAGGTGTTAGAAATATATGCTTTTTCTCTCTGCAGACAATAACACCAACAACGGGATTTCCCAATGCCTCAACGGCAGCTGCGCTGGAAAACCCAACGGAAATTACCCAGCTTGCCGTCCCGACTGTAAACGGGGTTACTATTACAGCTGTTCCAACGAACTGACATACACAATGTAAGTGTTTCGCCGTTTATCTTGTCCTGCAGTTTAAACCCTAGAGCTTTCATGGTACCTAGAAATAACCATAGAAAACTTTCATCTGTATCATCATTACATCAATTAATTAGGCAATGAGCAAATAGACTTAGGTGGTCAATTATGCTAATCTCTCATGACAATCAAAATCCTAGATAAGATCTGTATTTTTCTCCCGCCCACGCCAAGGTGGTCAATCAAAAATCTCGTCTGACAATCAAAATCCTAGATAAGATCTGTATTTTTCTCCCGCCCACGCCAAGTGGTTACGAGAAATACGTTTGACTGAACCATTAACATTTTATGTACCTGCTAACGCAACATGCGTTATTAGTCAGTCATCTATGATATGCTTTCTCAAAGTCTCAAATGCCCTCTTGCCCTTCATGAACACCCTAGTTCGTAAATGTAATTTTTACCCCCCCCCTCCCCCACACACACACACAAAGGGGGGGGGGCGGCGCTCAACCTCACCTGAATGTGTGTGAGGCCTGAGTCCCCCTCCCCCTTCCGTTGCCATCCATTTAAAGGAGTTACCCTTTTAAGTTTTGTTTATAACCATCCTATCATTCCAAATATATAATTTATCCATTTCAATACAGTTGCCATATATTTTTATTATTATTTTCTTATTATTATTGTTAAGCACTTAACTTTTACTAGTTTTAGGTCCCTGGTGTTTTCTACTGCTACTGTACAAGAAATTTTATAATGGGGCTCAGTGTCCCACTCCTCCAAGGTTTCTTTGTGTCGCTCAGATGCTAAAATGTATACATTTTAAGAAATAATTACTTGAGCAGAGTGAGCTAACGAATCAATAGGACAGGACATTATTAAACTAGGATATCAGCAGACTAAAACAGCAACAAACTAGGATATCAACAGACTAGGACATCAACAAACTAGGACATCAACAGACTAGGACGTCAACAGACTAGGACATCAACAAACTGGGACATCAACAAACTAGGACATCAACAAACTAGGACATCAACAAACTAAGACATCAACAAACTAAGACATCAACAGACTAGGGCATCAACAAACTAAGACATTAACAGACTAAGATATCAACAAACTAGGACATCAACAAACTAGGACATCAACAAACTAAGACATCAACAAACTAAGACATCAACAGACTAGGGCATCAACAAACTAGGACATCAACAGACTAGGACATCAACAAACTAGGACATCAACAAACTAGGACATCAACAGACTAAGACATCAACAGACTAAGACATCAACAAACTAGGACATCAACAAACTAGGACATCAACAGACTAGGACATCAACAGACTAGGACATCAACAGACTAAGACATCAACAAACTAGGACATCAACAAACTAGGACATCAACAAACTAGGACATCAACAGACTAAGACATCAACAAACTAGGACATCAACAAACTAGGACATCAACAGACTAGGACATCAACAGACTAAGACATCAACAAACTAGGACATCAACAAACTAGGACATCAACAAACTAGGATATCAACAGACTAAGACATCAACAAACTAGGACATCAACAAACTAGGACATCAACAAACTAGGACATCAACAGACTAAGACATCAACAAACTAGGACATCAACAAACTAGGACATCAACAAACTAAGACATCAACAGGCTAAGACATCAACAGACTAAGACATCAACAGACTAGGGCATCAACAAACAAGGACATCAACAGACTAGGACATCAACAGGCTAGGACATCAACAGACTAGGACATCAACAGACTAGGACATCAACAGACTAGGACATCAACAGACTAGGACATCAACAGATTAGGACATCAACAGGCTAAGACTTCAACAGACTAGGACATCAACAGACTAGGACTGATAGTTATGACTGTGTTTGTTGTAGGCCATGTCCCCTTGGATGGTACACCACAACTGACGGTATCAGGTTCGAAGCTCGTATGGTCTACAACGCAGTATCAGACTCGTGTGAACTCGAGGTGGAGAGCTGCCCTAGAGATCCTTTCAAAAATAGGGTTAACCCGCCAAGCCCATACCGTAAGTGCACAGCAGTTTTCGTTGCTGTAATTCTTCTCTCTCTCTCTCTCTCTCTCTCTCTCTCTCTCTCTCTCTCTCTCTCTCTCTCTCTCTCTCTCTCTCTCTCTCTCTCTCTCTCTCTCTCTCTCTCTCTCTCTCTCTTTCTCTTCTTTTGTCCGACTGCTGATGCCATAAAGTGTCATAGAGAGGGGTTAAATGTAGTTTCTTATCTTTTGCCAGTTGCTTTTCTTGTGTTAAATGTCATGCTGCGTTTCTGTATTGTCTGTTGTTCTTCTTCCACCAATCTCTTTCTCGATCGGCTTCTTGCCATTTAACCGGCTCTTCTCTTGTAGTGCGCTCTAACTTCTCGGTGATTTTGTTCCATTCTGACTACATAATTACACAGTTTTATTTTTCGATGCTCTACTCTTTGTAACTGCTTATTTATAATTTAACATGTGATTTGTTTTAAAATATATGTGACATATTCCCAGTGAAGATTGGTTCTAGTGCAGCCACTGCAGATATTGGGTATGTTACACGGTGAAGCCTCCATTTCTTCCACGGTGGGACTCTCTTCGAACACCATAAGAACGGGTTTTTTTTTAAAGACATGTGTAGAAAAAATTAAACCTAGGCTACACATTTCTTACGCATATTTTTTTTCTGCAATACTGTAAGGGACACTTTGAGATGGGAAACGGTACCTGTTTAAGACACTTTGAGATAAGAAACGGTACCTGTTTAAGACACTTTGAGATGAGAAACGGTACCAGTTTAAGACACTTTGAGATGGGAAACAGTACCTGCTTAAGACACTTTGAGACGAGAAACGGTACCTGTTTAAGACACTTTGAAATGAGAAACGGTACCTGTTTAAGACACTTTGAGATGAGAAACGGTACCTGTTTAAGACACTTTGAGATGAGAAACGGTACCAGTTTAAGACACTTTGAGATGAGAAACGGTACCTGTTTAAGACACTTTGAGATGAGAAACGGTACCAGTTTAAGACACTTTGAGATGGGAAACGGTACCTGCTTAAGAAACTTTGAGATGAGAAACGGTACCTGTTTAAGACACTTTGAGATGAGAAACGGTACCTGTTTAAGACACTTTGAGATGAGAAACGGTACCTGTTTAAGACACTTTGAGATGAGAAACGGCACCTGTTTAAGACACTTTGAGATGAGTAACGGTATTTTTTAAGATACTTTGAGATGAGTAACGGCACGGAAAGAAAAAAATAGTTAACACCCAACAAGGAGAAGCCCAGGCTAAATTTAAAAAGACTGAGAAACATAAAGACAAACTTATACAGCCATTAGATAATCCTCATTATCTCTCCCTTTAGAGGGAGGACGAGAATGAGTATGATGAGGACGACGACGGCGACGAAAAACCCGAACCCTCTCACCAGCCACTTTCTTTACCATGTCATTCTTCTTTCTTCTTTTTCTTCTTCTTCTTCTTTTTCTTCTTCTTCTTCTTCTTCTTCTTCTTCTTCTTCTTCTTCTTCTTCTTCTTCTTCTTCTTCTTCTTCTTCTTCTTCTTCTTCTTCTTCTTCTTCTTCTTCTTCTTCTTCTTCTTCTTCTTCTTCTTCTTCTTCTTCTTCTTCTTCTTCTTCTTCTTCTTCTTCTTCTTCTACTTTTCTTCTTCTTCTTCTTCTTCTTCTTCTTCTTCTTCTTCTTCTTCTTCTTCTTCTTCTTCTTCTTCTTCTTCTTCTTCTTCTTCTTCTTCTTCTTCTTCTTCTTCTTCTTCTTCTTCTTCTTCTTCTTCTCCTTCTTCTTCTTCTTCTTCTTCTTCTTCTTCCTCTTTTTTTCTTCTTCTTCTTTTTCGTTCACCTTTAAGAGGACAGTTAATACCTTGTTTTGTAGTTTACAGCTGACTGCGATATCTCTCCCGAGTTAAGAAAAAAGAACCTTAATCAATTTTCTTTTTCTACATCCATTTCAAACAACAGTGGTTCCATTCTTGTTTACTTAGTGATTATAGCTAGTCGGACAACGAAAACATCAATTCACAACCTGCAGTTACTTTCCTTATTTTTTCAAAATTTTTTTTTAGCCTCAGAAACCCAGCAGTGCAACGGGGTTGCAGATATTCTACTCATCTTAGACTCATCTGGAAGCATTAATAAGAACGATTATGTTCTAATGAAAGCATTTGTGGCTCAACTGACCACTAACTTTACAGTTGGACCGCGACATGTCCAGTTTGGTTTGATTATCTTCAGCAGTAGCGCATTCATTGAGTTCAACTTCACTAGATACACATCCACAGACGACTTGTATCAGGTAAATACGTTATTGTTACTTTAAAATTAGTTAACTGTATATACAAAATAATACGTGTTTCGTCCTTTTTAGGACGAAATTTTTTGTTATTTGAAGCCCCACCCTGGCTTTTGCCAGGGGCCGCAATATAGGCAGGCCATAAATATGGCCAATTGTCTGAACACGGTTTCTGTGACCTCTCCACGGCGATCCTCATCTACATGGTGGCACTTTGTGTCATCGGTTGTTTATCGCTTGTGTGATGTCCTAGTGGGGTAGAAAGTCAGTCCATCGGTCAGTTAACTGTAGTACGTTTGATCCGTCCTTTTTAGGATGAAATTTTTCGTTATTTGAATCCCTACTCTGGCTTTTGCCAGGGGCCGCAATATAGCCTGGCCATAAATATGGCCTAAACGCTGAAAGCGGTTTCTGGGACCTCTCCACGGTGATCCTCACCCACAGGGTGGCACTTTGTGTCATCGGGTGTTTATCGCGTGTGTAATGTCTTGGTGGGGTAGAAAGTCAGTCAGTTATTGTTACTTCCAAATTAGTTAACTGTTGCATATAAACCCTTTATTATTGGAAATAAATCCGTTTTTGTTGCAGATAAATTCGTTATTTTTGGAGGTAAACACATTATTGTTGTTTCCAAACCTGTTGTTGTTACAGTTGCTATTGTATCATCTGGTCATCCACTTGTGGGATGCAATTTTTAGTTATTTTGAAGCCTCACAGTACCTTTTGCAAAGTCACCAATTCGTCATGTCCCTGTCCGATAGCATCCGGTAATACGTGCAGCAGGAGAAACAAACCCTGAGCCTCATGAACTCAGGTGGGCCCAATTTCTGAATATGTCTAGGAGCTCGTGGGCCGAAACATTTGTCGACGAGAAATTACTTCTACTGATGATTGGTAGACTCCGACTGTACATGCTCCCCTGTGGAGTTTCTTCTTATTATGGTCTGGCGGCTGAAAGGGCTTTCTGGTACCTCTCCACGGCTGATCCTCATTCGCCTGGTGGCACTTTCTGTCACCAGGTGTTTGTCGCTTGTGTGATGTCTTGGTGGGAAACAATTTACATACATACATATATACATACAGTTGCTATTTGTAAGACAGCCAGCTTATATTGCCATATTAAACTTGTTGACTCTAGTTAACTTTATCAGATTTAAGGAATTCCGTAAATTCGCCTTTTATGTTTTCCTACTATGTATTTTTGGTTTCAAGTTAACCGTAGTTGTTTTCTTATCCGGTTAGTTTTCTGATAACAGTTTTTCTAGTATTTAGAACTTTCTTGTCAAAGACTGTGTACGATTCTAGGTAGGTAGGTAGTTGTACCCCACCAGGGCATCACACAAGTGATTATCACCCGGTGACACAAAGTGCAACCATCATGTCTCTGGCCTGGCCATATTTATGGCCCAGCTATATTCAGAAGCCAGGGTGGGGCTTCAACTAAAAAATTGCATCCCACATGTAAGACTATGTCCGCGCGTCCTATCCATTCCCTCTGTTAAACTTTCTTATCATAGGTTATGTTGTGTTTAGTAACTTTGGACAATCAAAAAGTGAATGTTAAACAGACAAATTCCTATCAATTTATTAAAATATCAGACACAAAGGGAAAAAAAGTGTGGGGATGGGGTGCTATGGGCCTTTGAAATGTTAGATCTGACCTCATGTAGTGAATCTTGTGCGGTAAAGAACACTTTATTACGCGAGTTGCTAGGGTGACCATGTCTTGAGCTAAAACGGGACATCTCACTTACATCTTGAACTGAAATCAAGACATCCCACTAATCAGTTGAGCTGAAACAGGGGACATTCCATTAATATATCGAGTGGAAAACAGACATCTCAATAATACGTCGAGCTGAAAACAGGATATCCCACTAAAGTGTTGATAGAAAAATGGATCTACCACTAATATATTGAGCGGATAACAAGATATTCTACTAATATGTTGATCGTTTATTATTATTATTATTATTACCCATTACAAGAACTGATACATATTAGGAACAGGATAATTTATAGGCCATCAGCACGTTTAACGCATTAAAGCTGTTTAGAACTATGACATCAGACATCATATTAGGCGTGCAGATATAAATATAAATATGTTTTATTCTCGAACTTATTCCTAGATTTTTATAAAACGGGACAATTGTTTAGAGGACGGCCGGGACACATCAAAAACATGACTGTCCCGTTGAAAACAGAACGTATGGTCACCATACCAATGGCGCAACGGAAATAGGTCTCTAGACTCATATCTTGAAACATAAGAGAGCAAATTAGTAAGAGACTGGACACAGCGTAGATGAGAGTTCTCTTCTTCCTTTTTTCGTCACATGGTTTTAAAAAACGGGACAATTGTTTAGAGGACGGCCGGGACACATCAAAAACATGACTGTCCCGTTGAAAACAGAACGTATAGTCTTCTTCCTTTTTTCGTCACATGGTTAGCGGGTCTCAGCCCAGTACCATGGTTTGTATTTACCAGTGATAAATTTGTAAAAGAAAATGGACGATGATGGGAATAAGTAGTGGGTGTTTGTACAAGTGGAGCTCCAGCTATGATAGTGTTCTTGTTCTGGGCCTCCTAAACTTAGACAGGACAGGTGAAACCCCCAAACTGAATTTAATTAAATCTGCTAGAAACATTACTTCCTGTAAGTACATACTAGTTAAAGATTAAAGGAAAATTAATTTTAGGGCCTAAAGTCAACATATATTCATTGAAAATGTCATTTTTTATGCGGAAAATAGCCAAATTGTCCTCAAAATTTACGAAGATATTTAAAACACTAACAAAGGTGGCTTAAAGAAAATGTGCACATAAATATAACATTATATTTTAAACATTATGAACCAAAGAAAATTCATTTAATGCTATTTTTAAAAGTTATGCTCATTTCAGTAGTGCAATAATGTTTTTTCACACACATTAGGGATGAGGGTTATCTGAAATGACAATAACGCAATAATCAAGCTGCTGTATTAATTCTAGTTCAGTATGTTTCAATGTTATTTTTTTATGTGTGTGATAGGTTTGGAGACAGTATCTTACTAACTTTTTAGGATATCATTGCACAACACCAGTAAAAAATATCAAAAAAAAATTATTTGCAAGATACTCGCGAAAAAGTAACTGACCAAGCTGGTTTTCGCAAAAATCCTCTATCTAATGATACCCTGCTGCTTATGAATCATCCTCAGGGTATTCCTCAACTTTCTGAATACTTTACCTTGCTCTTGTTATCTTCTTAATCATTATATTCCCTTCTTTGGCATCTCTTTCACGCACTTTATCAAATCTACGAAATGTGGAAACACTGTGCTGCAGCTTAGCCCTGACTTGTTTCACCACGGAGGTGATGGTGGTGATACAGGCTTTCATGTGGCTGGGATCACAGGACTATTCCCTCATGTGTGCGCTGGGTGATTCTTTGAGTATGATCCGGCGGGTCGAGGCAGGCTGGTTACGCAAACAGTTGTTTGAGTCATTGCAAAACTCTCCTCTGTTTGCAGTTACTTTCATATTCCTCCCAGGGCATGCAGGCGTTGTTGGTAATGAGAGAGCTGATAGACTGGCAGGTGCTGCATTAATTGAAGATGACCAGCCCATTGATCACATAGACATTGTCAATGTCCTTAGAGAGATAGGACCTTAGAGAGATAGGACGTTCTGAGGATTTTGAAAGCAACGTGTCCAAATCACTGCTTAGAATACGCGAATTGGGAGTAACAGTACCCCTTACAGCTATTTCTAGGCTGTATTTTCTAACATGCAATACAGGAATTAGACTATCCCAGTTATACAATTTCTCACAAACGGGGTAAGTAACTATTAGAATAGTTATGACTGAGTTATGACAGTTTGAATATTTCGCCTATATAATTAGGTAAATAAATAGTTACCATGCGAATTGAAACAACGAATTTAAATTACTTTCAGCTGGAATTTTGCAACAAGACATGGATTAATATGTGCAGAAATAAATGCACTTTCATGTAGTGTTAAAAATTTAAATTCCACACTTTTAACCCCCCCCCCCCCCCCCCCCCCAAAAAAAAATTGTTGTTTGGGGAGGCTTAATCTGTCCTTAAAGAAAACAAAATCAGGACATTGCTGGAACTTATCGTGCAATTTACAGACAGGCTCTGTCAGCCAAAACTTGTTCATAGGATCTGGATGATGCACTAAAAAAATGTAGGGGGTAAAATCAAGCTCCACACATATCCTACTTTTTTTTTCATACTGAAGTTCGGAGATATTTATCAAATGGAAACATGCTAGCTCGATTATACTTGTTAGTCTGAGTTCGAAGTCTTTGTCTGCAGTTACACACACAGACACACACACACACACACATACACACACGCGCTCGCACACGCGCGCACACATATACACAAGGATTGTCTGTATCAAGAAGAATAAGAACAAGAATTAACACAGCCAGCTGACCTATTATCAGCATTATTATCACATTATACCATGTATGCTTATCGCAAAGGGCTGACAGTCTATTGCACTGTTGGGTTTTACCCCGTGCAATCCCTTCGATATCTTAGATGTAATGCAGTCCAGCACTTTTGGCCTTCATCCTCACTCTTTATTCGTGTACCCAGGGTTTTCTTGGACATCTTACACAAATAAAAGCCTCTTCGTTGAAATAAAATTTAAATCAGAGAGAGATGACACCAAGAGGAGACACCAGATAAGAAGAGGACAGAAACGAACAGCTAACAACAGGGTGCAGGACGAGCGGTCGGAACCGGATGGAAGCATCAAGCCCAGAAATGGCGCAACACTAGAATTTAGTAACGAAAGTGACCCAAATAACCCAGACCACAGATATAGGCGGAGACTTAGCAGCCTCGGCTAGCTAGCAGCAGTCTGAAAGTGGTCGACCTTTGAATTTTGTTCTCAAAAGGACTAGGACTTGAAATAAATCTAAAAAAAAATAGGAGGCTAGTTTCCTAGGTAGCGGTTGAACTTTGACAATTCAAACTGATAATGATGGTTCTGATGAAAGAATTTACAACATGGTAACATATATTTGTATATGATTTTCCAGGCCATCATTGGGGCCCCCTATCTTGGGGGAGGTACCGACACGGCCGGTGGTCTCAGGTTGGCCAGGCTTGTCTCCTTCACTCCTGAAGCTGGTGCCCGACATGGTGTGGGGAAAGCTGCCATTGTTGTCACAGACGGTGTATCCAATAATGGTATGTGACGTTTACATTAGCTTCTACCTCTGCTGCATTGATCCTTCGCATAGTGTTTGAAACTTTGTGTTGTGGTTCACCGCTAGACTGCGATATCTGTGTTTTCGGTCTGCCTCAAAAATTACCACCAGAACTCACACGAGGTTTCTATTCACATAACCAGGGAGCGAAATTAATTTACTGATTTGAGAATCGAAATCAGGTCATACTGGGCATTCAACAGATTATCTGCCTCCCACAGAAAATGCTTTAGTTAGTCGGGTGGTTAGTTAGTTAGTTGTTTCGTGAATAGTTAGGCGGTTCGTTGTTTGGCAGATTGGTCAGTTGGTTCGCTGGTTGATTGTCTGGTTATTTGGTAGTTAGTTAGTAGACAGTTGGCTGGTTGCTAGATCGGTAGATTGGTTGCTGAGTAGTTAATTGTTTTGTTAGTAGTTAGATTCTGCATCTTCTTGTTGGTCTTCGCGTTTTGCGGCTGCAAACTCTGGCGGAAAGTTCTGAGCTGTTCTTGTCCTTCTGGACGCTGGTCATGTTCCAGAATCTTAATGTTGCATGTACATTCGCTGTACAGATCTGATTAGTTTGTATGCAGACTGTTGCTTCTCAGGCAGGTGCATTTAGCTTCCGAAGGAAGCTTCCAGTTCGTCGACTCTTACGATGAATTAATAGTTAGGCGGTTCGTTGTTTGGCAGATTGGTCAGTTGGTTCGCTGGTTGATTGTCTGGTTATTTGGTAGTTTGTTAGTAGACAGTTGGCTGGTTGCTAGATCGGTAGATTGGTTGCTGAGTAGTTAATTGTTTTGTTAGTAGTTAGTCGGTTTGGTTGGTTGGTTTGTTAGCTGGTTAGTTGTTTACTTAGTTAGTAGTCAGTCAGTTGGCTAGTCGGTTGTTATGTTGGTTGGTTAGCTGGTTAGTTAATCGCTTAGTTAGTTGTTAGTTGGGTGATTGGTTGGCTAGTCTGTTTGGTTGTTTACTGGTTGGCTGGTTGTTTGATTAGTTGACTTGTTGTTTGGTCGGTCGATCGGTTGTTTGGCTGGTCAGTTAGTTACTACGTTAGTTGTTAGTTAGTTTGTTGGCTAGTTGGTTTGTTGGTTAATTCGTTGGTTGGTTGTTTGGTTCTGTCGTGCTGTAGGGGAAAAAAACATGAAAATCACAGCCCCCGGAGATGACCAGTAATGAAATCCTTCTCTCCATGGCACAAAGCCAGGGCGAAGACACTCAAGTTATATGGCTCCCAGGTTTTCTTAACGTGTGTCCTATCCAGCGCCAGCGCCTTTTCCCTCACCACTGGATTCACCGGAATTTGGTTAGTTCTTTCCAAAAGCTCAACATTTGTGATTCTGTCGTACCATTTATTTTCCTCTATCAAGCTAAATAAATGTTTGTAATTTATCATTAAACATATTATTAACTCCTCCCCATGTTCTGCTCTACAAAGCAAGATTAAATACAATGCTCTTATCATTGTCTACATCAATGCAAAACCATCAACTTCTAAATCTCCTGTAGTTGTCTTTCTCGCTAGTATGACAGGATTATGAAACTGCTTTCATAACCCCTAGGCGACAGGCTTTAACTTAACATATACCTGCTGGTTTTTTTTTTTTTTCAGCACAGGAAACTGCAGAGGAATCCAGCTTGTTAAAGAACATTGGAGTAACAGTAATGTCCGTTGGAGTTGGGCAGTACGTGGACAGGACGGAACTGCTGACCATTGCTTCAGCACCAAACCTGGTCTTTGAAGTGGACAATTTCAACGTCCTGGATGCCATCAGCAAATCTTTGCTGACCTCAGCCTGTAACTGTACGTCCTCACAGATGTGTTTATAAAGCAATTTCTACGTGTAACAGTGCGTCGTTTATTAGGCAATCTCTGTTTCAACCAATACATCATTAAAGATGTGATTATTTAGTCACCTCTACTTGTAACAGTACGCCCTAGTAGATGTGATTAAGGATCTCTATTTGAAACAGACAATCCTTATATATGTATTTTTTAGTGGCCTCTATTTGTAACAATACGTTCTTGTAGATGTGTTTATCTAGTGATCACTACTTGTAGCAGTACATCATTGTGGATCTGAATAGTGATCTCTACTTGTAAGAGTACATCATTGTGGATCTGATTAGTGATCTCTACTTGTAACGGTACGTCATTGTGGATCTGATTAGTGATTTCTACTTGTAACAATACATCACTGTGGATCTGATTAGCGATTTCTACTTGTAACAATACATCAATGTGGATCTGATTAGTGATTTCTACTTGTAACAATACATCACTGTGGATCTGATTAGTGATTTCTACTTGTAACAATACATCAATGTGGATCTGATTAGTGATTTCTACTTGTAACAGAACGTCATTGTGGATCTGATTAGTGATCTCTACTTGTAACTGTACATCCTTGCAAATGTGTTTATTTAGTGATGTGTATTAGGAGATCTGTCTATTTTTAACAGTATTTCCCTGTATATGTATTTGTTTAATGTTCTCTGCTTTTAACAGTATGTCATTGTAGATGTGTTTGTTTACTGTTCTCTGCTTGTAATAGTATGTCATTGTAGATGTGTTTGTTTAATGTTCTCTGCTTGTAATAGTATCTCATTGTAGATGTGTTTGTTTAATGTTCTCTGGTTGTAATAGTATTTCATTGTAGATGTGTTTGTTTAATGTTCTCTGCTTGTAATAGTATGTCATTGTAGATGTGTTTGTTTAATGTTCTCTGGTTATAATAGTATGTCATTGTAGATGTGTTTGTTTAATGTTCTCTGTTTGTAATAGTATGTCATTGTAGATGTTTGTTTAATGTTCTCTGCTTATAATAGTATGTCATTGTAGATGTGTTTGTTTAATGTTCTCTGCTTGTAATAGTATGACATCGTAGATGTGTTTGTTTAATGTTCTCTGCTTATAATAGTATGTCATCGTAGATGTGTTTGTTTAATGTTCTCTGCTTATAATAGTATGTTATTGTAGATGTATTTGTTTAATGTTCTCTGCTTATAATAGTATGTCATCGTAGATGTGTTTGTTTAATGTTCTCTGCTTATAATAGTATGTTATTGTAGATGTATTTGTTTAATGTTCTCTGCTTATAATAGTATGTTATTGTAGATGTATTTGTTTAATGTTCTCTGCTTATAATAGTATGTTATTGTAGATGTATTTGTTTAATGTTCTCTGCTTATAATAGTATGTTATTGTAGATGTATTTGTTTAATGTTCTCTGCTTGTAATAGTATGTTATTGTAGATGTCTCCCTCACTCTTGACCTGTTGTGGAGTCATTCTGTTACACAGGTAACTACCTTTGCTACTGCTGCTACTATCACAAATGCGAATATAATTGCCACCGTTAAACAGCAGCAGTAACAACATCAAAAATAACAATGGCAACAAATCATTCTTTTTTCTTCTTTTTCTTTGACTACTACTCTAGTAGCGCTAACTCAGCTTTTGCCTATACTACAAGCTTTTCTGCTTCTGCTACAATTACATCAACAAATTCTGCTTCTACTGCTACTTTTACTGCAGCTACTGTATAACTACTACAGCTGCTTCAACCACCCAAAACAACTTTAAGTCAAGTCACTTCTCCTTTCCCCAGCAACCAGTAACCAGTCCAGCTGTGTCAGCAACAGTTGTCAGGGAAGACCCGACGGTAACTACCCGGCCTGTGAGCCCGAGTGTAAGGCTGGCCACTTCTACAGCTGCTCCAACGAACTGGCCTACAGAATGTGAGGCTTGTACATGTCAACGCCTGTTTAGTTTTCTGTTTTATGAAATGACATAAAGGCCTATTCAAAAGTGCTCGTGACTCAGTTAACTGTGCGTCTGCTGAATGTTTGCTTTGAACCAGTCTCTGAGGTTTCAAGGGGCTGCGTGGTCTCCAGGCAGTGTGTCCGCCTCGAGTGCTAGAGGTTCCGGGTTCAATCATCGGTAAGGGCTGGGATTTTTTACCTGGACTTGGAATTCTAGTAATTCACTCAGTCTCTAGGAAGTGAGATCGGATGCCCGTGTGCATTGTTGCGCACATAAAAGAATCCCCAGGCAGTTGTTAATCGAAAAGAGTAGTCTAATGGCCTTGCCCGGGCAAATTTGAGAGTTAAAATCAGGATTATTACAGTATCATCGCCCGTGCGACAGAGCCTGTGCACTGTGCTAAGCTTCTTCGCATTCAGACTTGAGTTAGAAGAAGAACGCAGCACTTATGGATGCAATGATGTTGATCCGTTGCTCAAAACCTCGAATCACTGATGTTTTATGTACCACAAGAAGGCAAAATAAAAATGAAAATTTAAATAAAACAAAAAAGAAAAAAGAAAATTCTAACAAGGACAATATTATTCAAGGTTGGCAAATTTGAACAACTGAGCCTAAACGGTTATTAGGTTACATATTTTATTTTAAAATGTGGGCACGACTTCGGAAACGGATATAACCTAACAGGAATACTAAAAAAGCGGCTGTGAAAATGAATGCGACAGGCATGACAGTTTGATCATGTCGCTCTTGGCAAGGCTGACCATACGTCCCGTTTTCACCAGCGACAGTCCCGTTTTCACCAGCGACAGTCCCGTTTTCACCAGCGACAGTCCCGTTTTCACCAGCGACAGTCCCGTTTTCACCAGCGACAGTCCCGTTTTCACCAGCGACAGTCCCGTTTTCACCAGCGACAGTCCCGTTTTTCACCAGCGACAGTCCCGTTTTCACCAGCGACAGTCCCGTTTTCACCAGCGACAGTCCCGTTTTAACCAGCGACAGTCCCGTTTTCACCAGCGACAGTCCCGTTTTCACCAGCGACAGTCCCGTTTTCACCAGCGACAGTCCCGTTTTCACCAGCGACAGTCCCGTTTTCACCAGCGACAGTCCCGTTTTCACCAGCGACAGTCCCGTTTTCACCAGCGACAGTCCCGTTTTCACCAGCGACAGTCCCGTTTTCACCAGCGACAGTCCCGTTTTCACCAGCGACAGTCCCGTTTTCACCAGCGACAGTCCCGTTTTCACCAGCGACAGTCCCGTTTTCACCAGCGACAGTCCCGTTTTCACCAGCGACAGTCCCGTTTTCACCAGCGACAGTCCCGTTTTCACCAGCGACAGTCCCGTTTTCACCAGCGACAGTCCCGTTTTCACCAGCGACAGTCCCGTTTTCACCAGCGACAGTCCCGTTTTCACCAGCGACAGTCCCGTTTTCACCAGCGACAGTCCCGTTTTCACCAGCGACAGTCCCGTTTTCACCAGCGACTGTCCCGTTTTCTAGGTGTGCCCCGACCGTCCTGTCAGTAATCTGATAAAACACCAAATGTGCCGTTTTATAAAAATCTTGGAATTAGCAACAGTAGAGAACGTACATTAGAATTGATATTGGTCATGCCTGGGATGTGGTAATAGGAAGTTTTAATGGGGCATGTTTCTTTATTATTATTATTATTATTATTATTATTATTATTATTATTATTATTATTATTATTATTATTATTTAAGTGTAGTTAAAGAGCATACTGTTTCGTTTATTTTTCGGGAGGAACAATGCTTCGGGTTTTAACACAACTAATGAGACACTAATTACTCCTTTTAGCCCCGCAACCTAGAAAAAAAAGTTAAAATGACAAGCTTGAGATGTTCTGTTTTCAGCTCAAAATATTAGAGGGCTGTTCCGTTCACAGGATATAATGGTCAACCTACACTTTGACAGCTCAGTGGTCCAAAAAATGTACAACTAGCACCTTACACTCAAAGCTATAAAAAGCGTGGGGGAAAAAACGACTGAAACATGACTTCTTTTTTTTTTCTAAAAAAAAAAAAAAAAGCAATAAATATATTGCATGATTTTGATACACATACACATCAGGATCTTCCCTGACACAAAGCATTGATGCTACAACGGACCTGCCAGGTAATCTGTGATGTGATCACTGTCCGTATTTGTTTGTATGTTGATGAAGGCTGTAAGTGACAGCGTTTTTTTATTTTTTATTTTGTCTTTTGTGATTTCGTTTTTTCTTCTTCTCGGCGTTGGCTGCCTGTAAACTCCAGCGGTACGTTCTGGCTGTGCGTCCACTTCTGGAGTTTAGCCTTGTGAGCGCACATCCGTTTTACAGATCTTCTTATCTATAAGAAGACTGTTAGTTCCTTGCCTCTTATGCAGATGCTCTCCAACTTCAAAAGAAAGACCTCTAATAAGTTGACCTTTACGACATGATTATTAGGGGAGCAATGGAATATTCCACACCCCCTTCCCTCCACACCCCCCCCCCCCACAAATGGGGCTCCGGAACCCACACGGGAAATGATTCTGGTTCATTTGAGAAACTGCCTTTATCTCTTTCGGATAGATTTTTATTCGGCCCTTTTCCGGTTTTATTACTTTTGGTTACAATCTGTCTGAAGGGACTGTGCACTGGCCTGGTACACATTTGAAAACGGGACCCGTTTCACGGCAAGGATGGTGTACAACCCAACCAGCAACACCTGCGAGAGGGCGGCTGACTACTGCCAGAGAGACCCCCAGGATTATGTCGTCCCACTGCCACCATCACAACGTAAGTTCTCGTGCTTTTGGTTGACTGCGAGTGAAATTATCTTCTGTGTGACCTAGTTTAGTGATTTCCAATCAGCAGAGAGCTGAGGACATCTCTTATATTTGAACTAATCATACTGAAAAAAACTTTTTACAGTTGAGAAAAATTAGAAATTTTCATTATTAAAAAAAAAAAAAAAAAAAAGACACAAACAGAAGATTGCACAATGTATTGCCTGGCATTTTCCCTATATCTCGTCAGTAAAAATAAAATAAAATAT